GATGGAGCCGGTGTAGCGAATTCAAGTGGAGCTGAAAGGTGACGCTGGCACCACTGCTCCCTGAGTTGCCATTGGGCAAGCCTGGCGTTGGGGACTTGATCTCGCCTCTGAACGGATTTAGACCCTGCCGGCACGCCTTGATTGAACGCGTCCGGCTCCAGCCGGGTCCATGCAGTGCAAGGCAATGCATGTACGTACGCGTGCGTGATGCACTGGCGACGATAAATCCGCTCTGGGCCCTGCGCGCTGCGTCAATCATCAGTAAGCGTAAGTGTGACTCCAGAATTATAGACACAGTAGTACTATGACCCTCCGAACCCCGTCCTCTACAGATCTGTATTGTGATCTATGAAGAGGTTCTAACCGGCTAGGGGCCATGACCAAATTCCAGTCTGGCCACGTACTAACGGGCGCGTCATCTCTCATCTCTGCGGTGACCATCCACGGGCTCAAGTCCAAGACCAGTACGCTACTAACCGGGTAACTTCCGGAGATCGACGCCGAAACCGACATGCACCGCCCAGCGCCGACCCGGCCGTATGCATGCACGCTGGTTCCGCTCTCGCCACGCGCGTGGGCGAGCGGTGGTGCGCTGGCGCTCCGTCATCGCACGAAAATCAATCTCCCCCTGGTCCTGGGGCCAGCCGTGCGCGCGCTGCTCTGCGGCTGTGCCGGTGCGTCGCCACACGCGCGGTACGGCTCCGTGCAATGCTTATCGCCCCCGCCGTGTGTCCCCGTGACCGGGCGCGCGCGTGCACCTCCCGGAGGCCGGCCGGCGCGTGCTGTCGTCTCCTCGCCGCGCGGTATCCCACGCACAGCATAGCGCATACCGTCGCAGTGCCCGGGCTAGTCCGGCTTTGCTTCTCTCATCTGGGTCCGCACTGCCTTATCTCGTCTGGTCCAGTGGTGCCCCCGCCGACGCGAGGTCCGTCTCGTCTCCCGTGGCAGCTTGCTGGAGCCTCCTGGAGTGGTGACCGTCTGCATGCACACGCACTGCAGGACAACGAGGAAGAGCTTTCGACCAGACGGATCCGGGGGCAAAGGTCTTTAAAATATCGTCCCCCATCTGATGTCTACCATAAGAAAATTATATCATGTCCCTCCACCAGCTGTACTGATTCGAACAATTCTTGCGATGCACAGTAACGCCATCGATATGATTGTTTATTTGGCAGGTACGACATTCATGGCCCTATCGTCGACCAGCCGGACCTACACGCACTACGCACACGCCATGCATAATGCAACACAGTCCAGTGCTATGGAGCTCGTAAGCGCGCGTGTACTGCATTTTCACCGGAGCAGCTGTGACCATGGCTAGGACAGCTGCTCGGTGGCGCGGAGCACGCACGGGAATCGTGTGATTGGCCCTTCGTCTGCCGTCTGCGCACGGCCGTGGGCCGGGGAGCAGGCAGAAGGCGACGCGCGTCGGCGTACGGCGAGGTGCGTGCCCCCGGTTGGCGAATGGCAACCAGCTGTACGTAATCATGGCGAGGGCAAAAACCCACACGTCGACATCTGTTTCGTCTTCACTGCTCGGTTCTTGACTCTGCGACGCTCATGTCGGCTTGCTCGTTCGATCCTACTCCTGCATCTTTGCATTTTCGACTCGTCTAATCGTTTGCTTCGAAAAACTATCAATTGCCGCACGTTTTTCGCTCCCCTCTAACAGTGTTAGGGCGTGTACAGTAGTGTCTAATCAGCTGTCTGCAACGCAGCCCACGTAGGAAATTTGATGACGTGGGGCAGAGAGAAAAAAAATGACGACTCAGTCCGTCGGTAGAAATAAAGGCGATCTATTAGCGCCAAAGCCGCTGCTTACCGACAGTATATTTGCCGTTGTACGAAGAGCTCATCTGAGGGGATCCGTCTTCCGCGGAAACTACCTTTCCATTTCGCGTGAAATTTGGTGGTTATCAACAGCCAAATAGACTCCCTATTGTACAGGGTGTCGCTTAAGCTGTCTATACGTGACGTGGAAAAGTTTTACGGACGCCTGAACAATTGTACATGCCCTTAGTGTTAACCGCATGCACCGTCGTTATCAGGTGTGCACGTTTGATGCGGAGGGGCGAATTGACCGTGGGTAAATCAGTGTGCAACTACTGCGAGATTATAACAGCTGCAGGGCTTAGAAAAAAAATAGTTGCATGGCAAAGTTTAATGAAAATTGTTATGTAGAAACATGGCAAATATGAAAAATCCATCTCAAGATCACATGTCAGTTTTACCAAATTTATTTGAACATACGATGGAAAAACTTATAAATGAAGTTTACCATGGCAAAATTTGTATCTAATGAACACATGGCAATTTTAGCATGCCAAAAATGTTATAAATAATTCACCATTGCAAAAATATTCGAAAATATAATTCTGAAAAGAATTTTTCATGGTATGTTCCACAAAATTGCCATGGTATGTTCAAGTAATTTATCACTATGTAACTTTTTTACCATGACTTACCATCACATTACACAAATGTATTTTAGCTTTGCCGTGGTTGTATAATTTAGGTTGCCCAGGACAACAAAAACTTTGTTGCCATGGCAACAGAGTTTTTAGTTTTTTCAATTATAATGATGCAAAAAATGATTTTTTTTTATAAAAGACAAAGGAAAAGGTGCCCATTATGGAAATTATAAAATATCAAGGACATTAAAAATAAAATTGATGCGCTCTTCATAATAAAATGGCCAGATTTTACATTTTCTTTGTCATAACATAAAATCAAACACATAAAATTTCCACGGTAGAAATTAATAAATATACCATGATCAACATAATAAAATTTCCATGCTACCTAGAAATAAAATTTACACATGGCAAATTAAATAAGTTTGTTATTTGAAAAATATGGCAAATTTAGGGAAAAAAATCTCTAAAACCATCATGGCAACCTTTGGAAGTTTGTAATTGGCACATGGCAAAGTTAGAGTTTTTTTGTTTGAAAAGATGGGAAACTTTAGAATTTATAAAAAAAGAATTTATCATCTTATGGGCTGTATATGTTTTGGAAGCTACGAGGAAAAAGAAATAGTTCATGCTTCACATCTTTGTTAAAGATGACGTCATATTAAGTTCAATTTAATTTTTTTCTCTGTGTACACATAATTTTGGACCATTGTTTTTGCATTAGTTTTAGTTGTTTTTACACACCTATTTATTCATTTATTTTAACACAGTTCTTGCATCAACACTTGGGGCATCATCTAGTTTACTAAACATGGATATACATATATCCCAATCTAGTAATGGAATAATCATTTCTAATAATTTTAAGGATTATGAAATACTTATCTTACACGTGGTCTACATGTATGGGTCTTCACATTTTTTGCAGTAAGCAAACTGATTTTAGTGATATTTCCTGACATAAAAAGCACAATCGAGTAAGCAAAATAAAAAATAAAAATAAAAGTTACTTCAGTATCAAACTATCAGAGTCAACGCCTCCGTAACTTTGAAGTAAAAATAAATTTCCTGGTTTCAAATGGATGCATGAGCAATCAGTTCCATTATTCGCGTCCTGACCAGAGACATGGCCCTTGCTAGACTTGATGTGAAGCAATTTTCTCATTGTTTAGATCGTTCAGGAGAAAAATCAAGGGTGCTAAAACTATATGATACCTCATGCAGTGTTACATAAATTGGTTGCCTTACAATTCAATGGGATTTGTTTGTACGAAACATGAATATTTTGATTAAAAAATGAAAAGTGGAATTGAATATACATGTTATTTATTGTGTGTATTTCTTGTATATAGTTGTAAAAGATTTATTGAATGTAAGTACCATACAAAGCATTTTGTTATACATGATTGTATGTGATGCTTTTTCCTGTGCATGATTACATATCAAGGTGGCATACTTTCATTGTAAGATAAATAGGTTAGTGAAAATAACCTACTTATAATTATATAGCATTGGAGGATTAATGACCAGAACAGCCTCAACATGAAAGTACTCCCTCCGCCCCAAGTACTTGTCTTAGATTTATTTAAATACGGATGCATTTGACACGTAACTTAAGACGGAGGCAATACATCACTAGCTAGGTAAGGACATCGATTCCAATCCCAAATAATAGCAACGATAGCTCTGAGACCTGAGAGACTTCTATCCAATTTCCTGATGGATAAATAGCCACTTGACTTAAGCTTCAAGTTTTATTTGATTTTCCTGATGTTGCCTAGAGCTGGAATTGGGTATTTTTTTTGCTTCATGTGAACTTCTTTGTACATATTTTACTTTTTTTATATGTAAAAATACCGTAGAACTATTGTTCTACGGTTTACGGTTCAGAAAAGAAAAGTTCTATCCATTTTGAGTTGTCTCAACCAGAGCAGCCACGAAGACACAATAATAACTTTTTTATTTGTGAATCTAACATACCAGGAATCATCACACGCTTCGAGATGAAAAAGATTGTCGCAAAGAATAGGTCGTCCATCCATCCCTGACTAATTCTTGTTCATGCATCATGTATGTTTTGTACTGCCATTTGGGTACAAAACACAAAATCATCTCAAAGGCTGCAGCTACCTACAAATCCAACCCAAACAATCATATAATAAAATCAAAAGCTGTTGCCTTGCCTCCTGAAATTTGCTATACGTCTCGATCGATGCTTAATGTCGTCTTGCTGTACGTGAGAGCCCCTGGCGTGGCCATGTCGGGGCAGTCGGGCGTCTCATTTTCCATGAGAAAACAGTACCGTCCTACCCTGTCTCCTCGTCTCCTCTCCTCTGGCGCCAACTCACACGCAATACACCGGAGCTGGCGAACTCCTCTCCGATTCGCCGAACCATCCATCCATACCATCGGGCACGCCCCGCTTATCTCCAAACCCCTATATAAACCCCTCACGCGCTGCTCATTCCACTCACATGACACAAGCTTCCAGAAAGCTTTCTCCTCATCTTCATCTTCTAGTACCCGTTCTTCCTAGCTAGCTCTAGTTGAGTGAGCTTACTTTTGGGAGCATCCAGCCCGCAACGCATGGCTCGCATGGCGGTGTCGGTGCTGGCGATCCTGCTCGCCTCGTGTGCCCTGGCGGCGGCGAGCTTCGACAAGGAGTTCGACGTCACCTGGGGTGACGGGCGCGGCAAGATCCTCAACAACGGCCAGCTCCTCACGCTGGGGCTCGATAAGATCTCCGGCTCCGGGTTCCAGTCCAAGCACGAGTACCTCTACGGCAAAATCGACATGCAGCTCAAGCTCGTCCCCGGCAACTCCGCCGGCACCGTCACCGCCTACTACGTACGCCGACATTCATTCTTTCCTCTGCTTCTCGGTCTGATCTGATGACACAGTTGCCTAACTCTGTTCGGTTTGGTGGGTATGAATGTGCAGCTGTCGTCGCAGGGTCCGACGCACGACGAGATCGACTTCGAGTTCCTTGGCAACGTCACCGGCGAGCCGTACACTCTGCACACCAACGTGTTCACGCAGGGGCAGGGCCAACGGGAGCAGCAGTTCCGCCTCTGGTTCGATCCCACCAACGACTTCCACACCTACTCCATCCTCTGGAACCCAAAGCACATCATGTAAGTTGGTCCAACGCCATTGCTCAACCTTCTTTTTTGTTTCAAGAACGCCGGCTTCTGAACACGGGGACTGACTGATTTGATGGTTTAAATAATGCAGCTTCATGGTGGACGACATGCCGATCAGAGACTTCAAAAACCTTGAGGGAAAGGGGATCGCCTTCCCCAAGAACCAGCCGATGCGCCTCTACTCGAGCCTCTGGAACGCCGACGACTGGGCCACGCAGGGCGGCCGCGTCAAGACGGACTGGTCCCACGCGCCGTTCTCTGCTTCCTACCGCAGCTTCAAGGCCGATGCGTGCGTGGTCACCGCGGCCGGCCGGCCGCGGTGCGGCGCCAGCATCGGCACGGACGCGGCCCCAGGCACCGGCGGCGCGGCCGCGGCTGGCGACTGGTACAACCAGGAGCTGGATCTGACACGACAGCAGCGCATGCGTTGGGTGCAGAGCAATTACATGATCTACAACTACTGCACTGACCCCAAGCGCGTCGCCATGGGCGTCCCCGCCGAGTGCTCGATGTAGTGCCCATGTCCACTGCTAGCACTGGACTGCGTATTCGTTGATCGCCGGAGGAAGACGGCCGGAGATAGGAACGATGGGTGTATTGTATGTATAGACCGAAATCAATCAATAAGGATTAGTAATGGGAAATGTTGTAAAGTAGCCAGTGGTAGATTCTTCTGTTCGTCATTTACGCCCAGTTCGAGTAATCGTGCTCAGCCTCAATTCTTGTATGTAATATACTGCCTCTTTTAAGTTCTTTGTCTGTATGGTGCTCTCTGTTCTACTCCCTCAGTAAATATAAGTCCTTTTAAAGGGTCCAATATGGACGAGCAAAATGAATGTATCTACACTTTAAAATATGTCTGCGTACATATATATGTAGTCTATATTAAAATTTCTAAAAATGTTATATTTAGAAACAGACGGAATAATTTGGAACAGGTTCGTATTTGTCGTTCATTTCGATGCTGTATGGTGCTCCTGTGTGTTCCATGGATTTTGACCAGCCGTTGTTATGAACGGATACCCTGTAGTTCTGTTGGGAGTAGTTGGCTAAACGGTAGGTATATCCTGTGAGTTTTAGCAATTAACTGCTTGCTATTTTTGTTATAAGAGACGGGTTAGAGCATCTCCAACAACCACGCTATATAAGCGCCGTGCTGGAAATTTTCGGATTTTAGCGCGCGCGCAACCGCTCCGGGAGCTTTAGCGGAGGCGCAATAATCGCGTGCGCGGCATAAAAAGTTCAGCGCGCGGTCCGAAACGCCATCTCGCGCCGTTTATGTGCCGCGCCCGCTCCAGTGCGTTGCACATTCGAGCGCCCGCGCCACACCCTCTCTATCACCCCGCTTTCGCTCTGCCCGCGTTGCCGCCGCCGAATTCGCCCGATGGACGGACGCGCCGACAACCCCCTCACCCCTTCCTACACCCGTGACACCTCCTCCTCCGCCGCCGCCGCAAACCCTAACTCGGGGAGCTTTGGCTTCGCCTTCGCCGATACTCCTCCAAACACCGGCATCGCGTGCGGCCTTTTCATGCCGCCACGAACGACCTCGGC